AGGGCAGAGGAGGCTCAGCTCAGCTGGGGCCGGAAAAGGCCCGGGCGGTGGGCGGCAGAGGGGCCTACGAGCAAGGACTTAGAGGCGCGCGTCCCGGTGGGCCGCAGAACAGCCTGAGCGCTGGCGAGGGGAGGAGGGGGGCAAAGGGCAGTGGGAGGGCCCGGGAAAGCCGCCGGCGCTCCAGGTGACAGCCACACAAAGACCTAGGCGGGGACTAGACTGCCACAGAGGCGGAGGGAGGGAGGGAGGGAGAGAGGGAGAGAGAGAGAGAGAGAGAGAGAGACTGGGATGTCCCCCTGCTCAGCAGCAAGCACGCCCAGTAAGCCTGGAACTAAACAGCAGCCAGTACGAGCGACCTTGGGAGAAGCTGGCCCCAGAGTCCCAGGCTGGCCAGTTCTCAAGTTGGAAGCCAAGAGCCCCATTCTACTGCTACAGCCCACACAAGGGTTCCTGCTCCATCTGACTAGGAGAGCCTATGCCTGGCCATCTCTGCCTACTATAGGAGGCTGAACCCCTCTCCATTCTTGGCTGGCCTCACCACTGCAGCCCCAGCCCCAGCCCAAGCAGCCAGGCTCTGTCTGTGTCTGCAACCTCACTATTGATTGTATCCCTGCCTGGCACCAAGGTAGCTTCCGGGGCATTTCATTATAATCAGCTGTACACCATACCCTGTGCTGGCAGTAGATTCTCAAGATCCCAAAAGGAGGGGCAGGTGGACCTGATCTGGGGGTGGGAGTGGGGGAAGAGGGAGAGGTGAGCTCAGCCAAGGGAGAGATTGTCCTACCTCTCCCAGGAAGGCAGCTTCAAGGGGACAAGATGTACACACCAAATTTCCCCTTTCCACAGCCCTTATTGCGGGCTTGGGTTGCCAGTGCAAATCCTGGACCGTCATTGTTTTTCTTTGAGAGACAGAGATGAAAAAGAAAACCCCCAAATAACAGTTCTTCCTCAAGCGGCTTTCCACACTAGAATGGACAGCCTAGGTGCACAGAGGCCATGCACACAAGGAAGGCTCAGCGGGCCAGAGCACACTCTCAGGGCCATAGGCAGGAAAGCCCGCAGGGTGCACACAGGAGGAGAGGCGCCTGCCCACTGGCAGGCAGCTGAAGGCCAGGGCAGAAGTGACTAATAAGGGTTAATAGTGAGGCCCAATTGACCTGACCTGACCAGGACACGGAGACTCACTCACTCAAGAGCACACTGGGAGCTGGAGAGGGGGTCTTTGGTGGCTCACCCCCAGGCTGGAGCACAATACCCAACATTCCCGGGAGATGGGGCTGCGCAGAGCAACTGAGGCAGTTTCTCTACAAGTGGTGCTTCAGCCTGGCTTGTTCTGCTAGCACTGTCCCAAGGATGCCCACTGACTTTAGCCCACTGGGGTGGCTGGTGGCCTTGCCCTGTGGCTTTGAGGAATGGAGAAAGAGAACCTGTAGGCAGCAGGTGAAAGTCTCTTTACCCTGAGTCCAATGTTTAAAGGAGCAGGGGTGGTGGTGGTGGCCAAATGGACTGGAATATCCTCAGTGTGTCAGGGTAAAAAATGGATGAAGGACGTCTCCCTCACCCCCACGTCCCCTTCAAAGAAGTCCCAGTGTGATCGTCCTTCCCTAAATGGGGCCAGAGGGCCTTTTAGAGGTGAGAAGACTAGAGATGGTCTCTGTGAACTGACTAGAACAAGAGGACCCAAGCATGTCCAAACCCGAACCATGACCCACATAGCCGATGTCCACTACCCAGGAAGACAGCACACACACACAACATCCTGTGGGGGCACTGACCGGGTCCTCCTTGCAGAATGACATACATAAATAAAAACTGCCCAAGACACACACAAATACCTCAATTCTAGGCAGGCAATATACATGGAAACATGTGACTGGCCACACCACAACACTGAGGGCGCCAACACTCATATCCAACAACTCAGGCACATCTCTTTGTATGCAGTCCTTGACTGCCTGGTGGAGGCCCAGCTTTCAGCACTGCACACTCATATACTACCCCACAACAAGAGCAAGAAATCTGGAGGGAAGGTCAGAAAGTGCAGAGAGCAGAGCACTGGTATTTGTGAAAAGCTGTGTGGAAACAGAGATGAGAGAGGCCGATAATAAATAGCAAGCAAGATAACAACAGGCTGGTGAAGCCCAAGAGGACCCAGCCCCACCCCGCCCCCAACTGAAGGCTGCCAGAGAAGAGGATGAGTGAGCTTGGATGCCCCAAGTTGCTTTCATTGCTGAGTGAGTGAGTGAGTGAGTTGAGAGAAACCTAACTCCACCAGTTCGTCGTCGTAGCCAGACAAAAAGGAACCTGGCTCCATGCTTAGGCCCTTCCAGAAGCCACTCTCTAGTGTGGCCTCCCCTTTCCTTCCACCTACCAGTTAGGCTGAGCCTTCCACCCTCCCTGACTCCCATCTTTCTTTGCGTTTCCAGGTTTGGGCTCTGGGTCACATTCGTGACAGGTTACCTGGAACCTTCGTCCCAGAAGTCATCTGTACACCAAAATCAAGGCTCAAGCTGAGGAGAACCCAAGCAGCCCCTAACCCAAAGTCCTACTAACTGGGTCAATATTGCCCGAACAGGGTGGCACCCCGGTTTCTAGGCATGGAGCTCGCAGATACTTGGGCACTGCTCTTGCCACTGAAGGCCTTGGAAGCCCAGGAGAGGCCTGATGGATGGCCTAGGTCTCCCGGAGGATGGAGAGGGGGAACCTTGCCTCCCACACAGCCCCGCACCCCGGGCATGGCTGATTTGTGCGCTCAGAGCACCTCCGTGTCCAGCGGCCCAGTCTGCCAGCCAGCCTGCCTAAACCCCATGGCGCTACCCTGTATGGAGACAAAAGGAAATCAATCGGAAGTCAAAATTAGTTTGGAAACGGGCGCGAAATTCCAGGCACGTTTCTCCCTAATCCTCCTCTCGTTGGAAATTGAACTTTCAAGTGAAGGCAAGTTTTCTGAAATTACCTCTTCGGTTCTTCCTCGGGCACAGGCCGCCCTGGCCCAGAGCGACGGAGGCGCCACCAGCCAAATCATCCCGCCATCCCCGGGAAGTGTGCCCCCACCCTCCGTGTGCGCAGGGCGGGGAGGCCTGAGGCCAGAGAAGGTCGAGCTAGAAAGGGCGGTGATGGGGGTAGGGGAAAATATTTTAAAATGTACACCAATTCTGAAATGTCTTAGGGGCTCCAAATAGTAAGAAATGTTCAGGGAGAAGATCCAGAGGCAAAGGGCGAGGGGCCCAATCAGAGCCTCCGACAAACACGCGGGTGGTGCAGAGAGGCCAGCCAGCCTCCAGGCCCTCCACACTCTGCCTCCCTGCTTCGCCGTCCTCCAGGCCTGGACTCCAGATACCTTCCCTCCTCCCAGCCAAGGTGGCAAAAGCTGTCAGCTCCGCTTGCTCGGGCTGGAAGCTTCAGTTAGGCGACGAGGTGTCTTTTCCCCCTTTGAGAAACAAAGCAACAACAACGGAAAGACACCAAACACCGAGCCAGGACCCACCAGGGGCCACCGCACGCTGCAAAGCCGACAAGGTCTCGCAGCTGGGGCTCCTGAGAGGGGGGGGGCACAGAAACTGGGCCTCGCCCTCTGGACCTTTTTAGCTTAGGAAAAGGCTTTGGCACCCCGAAAAAGCTCAGGCCCAGCCTTTACAACCCAGTGGGAGCTCAGGCGGCTGAGAGGGCAGGCCACTGCTTTCTGGGGGCTGGGTCAGACAAAAACACCAGGCTCTGGGAGTGATAAGAAAAATGGAGAATACTGTATTTGCTTTAGAAAGTTTTTACATATAGATAAACACGCAGTTAGGATAACAGTAAAAGCGCCCTATGGGGAGTGAGAGACACCTCCGAAGCAGCTAAGAAATACTTGAAATAGCTTTTGCATAAGAATACTACAGTCTCCCTCTCCACTTTCCGCTAGTGGGGGTCCCTCTTCCTACCCCAGCTGAGTCAAAGCCAGGAACACCGAGAGGAGGGGAGCCCCAAAAGGAAAGAGACAGGTGAGCAGGGGAAGGGGGGTGGGAAGGAGGGCGAAGAGAGAAAGAAAAAGGAGAGGAGAAAAAGCAGTATCATATACAGGCAATTTCTACACATATATTACAAACTGGGAAAATGACCGATCATTAAGATATACATAATTCATATAAAATTTTGAAATAAAAATAAAAATCTGTTACAGTCATAACTATTCTTTTTCCACATTTATAACCAGTATCCACACAGGCAGTGACAGAAGTGGAGAGAAAAAGGTGCTTACGAAGAAAATGATTGTCTGCAGAACAAAAAACAGAAGATTGCATTTTGTTTGACCAACACTTGGACTTAAAAACCGCGAGAAGAAAGAAAGAAAGAGAGGAGGAGAGGGAAAAGAAGGGGCAACAAAAGGCAAGATACATTTGCTATTTCCCTCTCGAAGGAGTTCCTTTTTTTTTTGGACCAATTCAGAACGGAGATGGCGATTTTTTTCTTTTTTTGTCTGTTTTGCTTTTGTAGTCTGGTCGTCGTAGTGGAGGTGGTGGTGGTGGTCGGTTTTGTATGGTCGATTCTTGTAAAATCGTTTAAACTAGAGAGAATATTTTCCCAGATACAAACAAATCGTCATGCAGGTGGGGTGCCAGGTCCGTGGGAACCGAAAGGAGAAGCCGTGCTTGTCCTAGAAAGTATACAATTGTCACCTGTTTTATGCTTTCTGCCCGGAAACATCAGCGTTTGTGACTGTCTGTTGACGTCGTGGTCCTTGGGGGTGAACGTGGTGGTAGATGGTGGTTGGGGGTTGTTGATGGTTTGCTGTTAATTTGTTATTTTTTTTTCTTGGTTTATATGTATGTATATATATATATATACATACATATATATATTTGGCTGGGATAGGTGTGTGTGTGTGCTTGTGTGTGGATGTGTGTGTGTGTGTGGTTGTGTATCCTGATTTCCATTTGTTCTGGGGATGGAGGAGGAAGATGAGGAAGAGGAGGAGGGAGCCGAGGAAGGGAGGAGGGAGAGGAGGGCGGCCTTGGCTATCATACATCACATTCCGAGTCGCTGGAGGTTACCGAGAGGATGGAGGTGCCGGTGTCCGCGCGCTCCGTCAGGCTGGACACGCTGGTGGTCGGGCTGGCCGCCGTGGACGGCGACTCGGCCGAGCCGTGCGTGGGACAGCCGGGCTCAGCCAGCGAGCGCATGCCGCTCGGCCCGATGGCCTGGTGCTGGAGCCTGCAGGAGACAGAGAGTGGCGCCGAGCCTGACACAGCGGCCTCGCCCACTCCCTCCTCTGAGCCGCCTCCCTGCTCCCGTGCCACCCGGAGCTGGGCCTGCGGCTGCCGCGCTTCCTTAGCCCCCACCACCGCACCACCCCCAGCGGTCGCCAGGAACTCGCTGGGTATACTGGTGCCCACAGCCCCGCGCCGGGCTGTCCCAGAGCGCGGCCGCGCTTCCCCGGCCCAGGGCTGGGCTCCGGCGCCCCTGCTCAAGGCTCCCCAAGGAAAAGTGGAATCGAAGGCCAGCCGCCTGGGGGAGGCGGGGGATCCGCCCCTGGGGAGCAGGAGGAAGTCTTGGGGAGAGGGGAGCTCTTCAGATGGTGCCGGCCGCCCTGAGGCCCTTGCCCACTACCCTAACTGCGCCTTCGCATTCGAGCTGCGGGTTGCTTGCCGGTCACATCTCTGGGTCAGGTCCCACCCTGCCAGCTCCTGCTCTCGGGATTCCAACTCAACGCAGGAGCAGGGGCGGGGAAACAAACAAACACACAAATCGGGAATGGGGAACAGAAAGGTGGGCCGCGCGAGAAAGAGAATGGGGAGAAGGGAGAAAAAAGCAAAAAGGAGGAGGGAGGGCCGAGCTGGCCACTGGTGACTGGACGGAGGCCTTTAGTTCTTCCCCAAAGGAGGCCCGCACCTGACCTGGGTGCTCCCCCCTCGGGCGAAACATGGCCTTAGTAAGCGGGACAGAGAATCGTGGACTCAGGCCTGGGTCACCGGCATCCAAACACCCTCTCTCACTCCACAGCTCACACGGGGCTCCCGGCCCTGAGCAGCTGTCAGCCGCCAGGGTTCAGGACGGTCCAGGCCTGGCGGCAGCCTTCCCAAACAAGACAGGGGCACCGGTTCCACCGGAGAGCTTCCAGCCACCTTCCTTCCTTCACCAGCCTCACGTGCCCTGGCTTTCCCTCTAGTCCCCAGCCTCCCGTTGGCTCAGCTCCACTGATGGTCAAGCTAAAAACTTTGCGACTTTGTGGCCAACTTGCTGGCAGCGGGCTGATCCTGCACCTCCTCAACTCAGCGAATTTAGGGGCAGGAGGGTGAGCACTTGCTTGCCTCAATCTCTCTCGCCCTCTCCCTCTCCCTCTCTCCACTCCCAGGCAGCAATCCCGCTCTCCGCTGGCCCTGTGCTATGTGGGAGGCGAGCTATGTCGCTAGCCTTTTCCCTTTGTGACAGGGGCCTGGTTCAATCGCTCACATTTGTGCATTTCTCCTGGGCTTTCGCAGTGCATGGGAATGAGGAGCGATCACCAGAACTAGATGGCAAGGGGCGCTTGGGCGAGTCCCGGGCTCCGGTCGAGGGTGAGCCTGGGGGCGGGGTGGGGGTGTGCGTGAGGAGGCATACTCGGATGCTAGGCAGGACTGGAGATTCCCAAGATGGGGACCCCGGGGGACTGGGCACTTGGGACCTCGCGCCCTTGTCCCAGAAGAGAGCCCCTTCTGGGACAAAGCCGTGTGTAACCCCACCGCCCACCCTGAGCCCGGCCCGGCCTGGGGAAACTTTCTCTACCTGGCCTGAAGGAGGTCCAGGTTTGTGGGGCGCTGGGAGGACACCCCCATTATCCCGCGCCCGTCCCTCCCTCCCGGGGGTCCGGAGGCGGTCGCCAGGACACGGGGCCCACCAACTGACCTGTTCTTGGCCGCCGCGGCGCGGTCGCGCTGCCGCCGGTTCTTAAACCAGTTGCCTACTTGTGTGGGAGTGAGGCCGGTGGCCTGCGCCAGTTCGCGTTTCTTGCTGGGGTTGGGGTAGGGGTCCTGCAGGTACCACTCCCGCAGCAGGCTCCGAGTCCGCTCCTTGAAGCAATGCGTCTTCTGCTCGCCGTCCCAGATGGTGCGCGGCAGCGGGAACTTCTTGCGCACGCGGTACTTGTCCACCGGGCCGAGCGGGCGGCCGCGCAGCTTCTCGGCCTCCTGGTAGTGCGCCTCCAGCCACATGGCCTGCAGCTTGCCGTGAGACTCCTTGGTGAACTTGTGGTTCTCCAGGATGTGGTAGAGGTCGCGGAAGTTGCCCGTGTGGAAGGCGACCACGGCGCGCGCGCGCAGGATCGACTCGTGCTTGTTGATAGCCTCGCACGCTCCGGGGGCCACGGGCAGAGACCAGAGGAAGCGGCCCAGCCGCTCGATGTCGCCCGTCTCCTCCAGCGTCTC